TTGCGTTTGCTCACAAATTACTTCACGTAGCACAACATTTTTCCTACCATTGTGAAATGCGATCGTTCGGTACCAACGCCCACAAAACGACTGACGCTCGACAATGGGGCATTCCAAATTTCGTGGTTCGCTTACCTACAAAACCAGTAAGTAGAGAGCTAGGGGTGCGAAATTATACGCTTCGGTCGGGGAAGCCGTGGAGCCGGGCTATTACGTCTCGGTCGGCCAATGAAAGCAAGCACTGCGACACGGGGGGTAAAGGATAACGAATAATGTGCTCAAGGTGCACGCGTGCGGTGAAATGATACAGGTACTTTGAAACGCAATCCGTGAGAACCGACTCTCTTTGCTCTAAGATATGTAAGTAGTGTAAGTATTGTTGTGGAACATTTCTTCAAAAGTGATGAAGAGACATGGATCCAGATGAATGAGCGCCGGATCTGTATGGATGTGCCTTACTGCGTGCGCTTTGCGTTGTATTGACATTCAGCTGATATGGGCCGTGCTTGTGCGCAATCCGCGTCGTCTTATTGTAACAGTTCGTTGGTTCCCGTGGGTTTGTCTGTGCGCTGTTGGATGATGTATGGACTATTAATGGATGACTGCACAATAATATAATTTTTAATGGGGTTTTGGCATACACTTATTCTCGACACCCAAAGTGGGACTCTGTAATCCAATAAAAAAACATTCTTATGACAAATGTAACCAAAAAAAAAAAATATATATAAATGGGGAACTTTATTGCGTACGCATGGGTTGTTTCTTGTGGAACGAGTGGGCTTACATTATGATTTGCAGTATGAACTGGTTTTAAATTGGAAGAATTAGCTCTTCAAACGTATTTATTCAAGGACACCTTTGCAAACTTAAAAATGAATTCTGGAACGTATGAAACAATAATTTTACTACTTATACTTACAAAAAAATAGCGGTCATTAATCCTTTAACTATGGTTATAAATGTCATAAAATGTGTTACAAGTGTTATTAGACAAAAGTGTAATAAAAATGTAATAAATATTAATGCTAATATATTCTAGCTGTTAGTTCGTTGTCAGGGAGGTTTTATATTTCTATATCACACGAGAAATTGACATTTTTATCATCATTGTTAAATGGCCGTAATTTATCAGTGCATCGAATGATGTATCAAAACATTGTATAGAAACACCAATCTTTTAAGTTTTTGAAATCAAGACAACCATCTTAGAATTGTCTTAATGTAATTGGCCTATTTTACGTAGCACAGGTAATTACCAATACTTATTTGATACAAATTATACCAGCTGAAATAGTTGAGTAAAAAATACTGATATTTTAGCATGTGGCTTCTATAAAAACTATTTTGTTTTGCGTTACTGTTAGTTAAGGGACATTTTATTTTTGGTACAGGTAAATAACGTAACAGTACAAATAACAACCAATTAATTTAATTACTTTTGTAAGTATTTCAAATATTTAATTACTAAATAGCCTAGCGCTAGAAGTTGAGGTAGAAAAAAAAAAAAATTTTATTCCTTCATCTTCAGCAATCGCTAATAAGATGAGAGGGTTGATAACTTAATTGAAAAATTCAGACCCCCGAAACGTAGCATACTTCTATCTCCACAAAATTTCCACAACTCTTTTTAATTAAATAGATGTTTATTATTTGTTAAAAGTAACGATTGCACATAATTTACGGCATTGAAAGTTGCGAGCAAATTCAAAAAGCAACGGAAGCGTAGTCTATTAGCAAAAGCCCGTCGAAATCTCAGCCACGATCCAATCGCAACAAGATGTGTGCGCTCTTGCACTGCACCACGTAATTAATTTTAATAAACTACGGCAACAGCCGAGTAACGGGAGGTACACCTGGACAAGCTTTGGGCAAAGGGAACAAAAGGGCTCCAGCTCAACAACTCGCTAACAAGTTTCACTCGCGTGCACTCCACAGTCCAAAGTACACATGTATACACTTCCCACCCCCTCCTCCTTCTACTCGTCAGCCAACCCTCGCATCTTCCTTCTTCATCCTCTGCCTCCACTATACGTGCTCTGTAGGGTATTCACATTAACTTCCCGAGAATCTTGGAATCCGCTGGTTGCTGTGTACTACAAGCCGAACAGTAATGGAAAAAAAAAAAAAAAAAAACTTTTATTGGTATGTACATAAAAAAACTGGCAAAATTTTATGAAATCGCTCTCCGTACTTACACAATCAGGAAATAAAAGTGTCCTAAGGAGACTTAAAAATCAGCCAAAGTAAGTATTCAAATTAGCAGTGTCTTTTCGCTAANTATATGTATATATATATATGGAAGGGATTGTTGTCAACAACGACGTTATATTACTTCGTAGTCGATTGTTTGAAATTACTTTTTGACAACTGACAGGCTTTTTCCTAATTCTATATTTTTATCGAATAAAAACGAAATTTTGCCATAATCTTCATAGTATTATTAGTACTGACTTCGCAGTGTAACTTATTATGTCTCCATTGTCTTTCAAAAACTTTTGCTAGAAATCTCGTCTTAATCCTGTCTCGAAAATCATCAAGACAAGATCTAAAATTTGAGAGATTTATTGGTTCTGGAAAAGGTATCCCAATATAGCACAAGGTAAAGCTTATAGTAGCACTTATAATTTTTTAAATAAAAATATCCAAAGTTCAGAAAGACTTCATTATGTCTCTTTTATCAAAAAAAACATATTCTACACTACATGATAATCCACTAAATTTTTCACTACCACTAGCTTGTCAGACGGAAAGATGATCTTTGGCTTATAAAATTCTTTTAATGTCCTTTTTTTTCTTTTGCAAAGCACATAAGATATATGTACACGTTGAACATCACACAGAGGAAAAAAGAAATGGAAATGTCACATACAAAAAGACAGTTTTTCATATGACAAGCAAAAATGACACATTTACGTCTAGCAGTAAAGAAGCTTTTAAAAACTCAAAACTAATCACTTGCTTGCATGAAAGAATGACGCTTTTCGTTACCGCCTTGTACAAAGATAGATTGTTACATTAAAGACAAAGTAAGAAACTAATATGTGTGTCTACCTTATAAATATGTCGGCAAATGCCACTGAACTTTCTTTGTACTAGTTTATAATTTTTTAAGAAAAGAAATCATACCTATATTAATATGATTGTTGCAGTCGTAGTATATTATTGTTGTTATAATACGTGATTAAAAATAATCCTTTTCTTTAACACTTAATATTTTACCACCAAAGAAGCGGCTCCCGTGATATGTATTTATTGACGCATACACCACAAAAGACAAAGCCTCCCCGGTGGTCTAGACACCTTCTCTACTCTGACGCAAATGTTCCATTTCGTAATAAAAATTTTATCTTATTTTAATAACACTTAATTGACATGACGCTGTATTGAATTTCACCGGAGCGAAGTGTCAAAATGTCGTTCCATTGTAGGCATAATTTTACGACGGACTGAGTTTCATTACATTGTTGGACTCATTACACTTGGATTTTTTTAAGGTTAACGATCGTACGGACGTTTGCATATAATTTATGAGTCATAAAAAAAATGAGATGATATCTATTAGAGTAATTTTAAACAATCAAGTCTCCATTTATTTAGCAACAGCGGTAGTGTATGACATGAAATTATGATTCTGCAAAGCATCTTTGTAATGTATTTAATATCTTCAAATACATAAATGTCCATACGTAGCAAAAATTTAAGTTCCGAAATTCATAATTATGTCGCACAATGGAGGAGAAAGCGCATTGCAAGTGTAAATTATTTTTCAAAGCGTTCTACGAAATGGATGACAATTTTACGTTTTGATATCATAAAATCTACAACAATTGACAATATTCATATCAACATAAAATAATTTTTTTCGAAATGAGGTAATTATATTGCTAGGCTTAGTTTATTTGACTTGTCACGTAATGGTACTGGCCTTTCTTTGTTACTTAAATTCATAAAAGGTAAGTGAAGGTCAACCATAGTATGGTACAGGAGCTTACTGGCGTAAAAATTACGTTCCAGTCGTTTAACAAAACGTCAATTTTTTATTTTCCTCCCACCTTTTGCTTCTATGACCACATTGACTATAAAAACTAGAACCCTCGGAAGCATTGGTTCGCAGTTGTGATTTTTCTCTCAATCAAGAAGTAGTATGTTAAATTAGAGTGTTTATTGTGAGTTGACAAAAATTATATTCTAGGCAACAGTGACAGGCTAAAATGATACTTCTGACAATAGCATTCGTATGTGCATGGAATCAAGTTGCAGGACAATTTGAAAATGGCATTGCATTCAATAATGTTGGTAAACCACCGACCCCTACAGTCCCCTCTCGTAAGTTATTAACATTCACTAATCGTACAAATTGGCCATTTTCTCAAAAATGGCTTGTATTTATATTCTCACCAGGAAAAAATTAGTTTCTAATTAATATTCATTCGTAAGTAATTAATATTCATAAATCGTACAGATTGGCCATTTTCTAAAAAATGGCTTATATTTATATTCTCACCAGGAAAAAATTAAGCTTTTCACAAAATACAAGTGCCTGTAAATGTAATTGATATGTAGAGGCATCGTTTTGTTTACATATTGCCCTCATTAGTCAATCGTCTGGTCATCCTACATTGAAACGTTGATACGCAATTCGAAAAGAATATTATGCTTTATCAAACATTCAATCATGTTTTTGACATACTTTTTTGAACTGGTTACATTATTCCTTGTTTTTTGTTTCAGCCACTTCGTCGGTTGTCGTAAGTGAAAACTGCAAATGTGTGATCATAGGAACGTGTCCAATTCCACCGCCCACCATTGATTTTCGAATCGTTAACAACGTAATTTATTAATTTTTTTTTTTTTGTTATTGCTGCGAGCTTCAAACTAATAAGTGGCAATGAATGAAAGTATCGAAATAAACATAAAAATATACGCAGGGAGGCGTCTTTCCATGCCCACCAAGCTTCGTTTTGTGCTGCGTGAGCCCTCCTTTGCCTCCTCCTCCGTCAGAACCCGCTTGTGGCCAACGCAGAATTTCACCTACGCCCCAATCCGTAGTAGGTCGGGCTAGCTTCGGCGCTTATCCATGGCAAGCAGCTCTACTCGACAAACAGCTTGTCTTCAAGGGCTCCGGTGTCCTTTTGGACAAAATGCATGTTCTCACCGCTGCCCACAAGGTCACTTCTTTCAAGTGAGTTGATATTTCAGTTGGGCAATAAATTCCGTTGTTTCAAAAAAACCCATTATCGTTAATTTCATTAACTAATTTACCATAAGGGTTTTCTTAAACTATAATTCAATAATAATTCCAATTACGTGTGTTGTACCATAAAAAACAAGATTAAATTTTTATCATCAATCAAGAATAAAATTTCTAATAAAAATTATTTAAGAAGGAGTTGTTGAAACATAATTGACAACCTAATAAAACAACGTTTTGCAGAAGTGATCCTGGATCGTTGCTTGTGCGCCTCGGTGAGTGGAATTCATTGGTGGAGACCGAGATTTTCCAGTACTACCAATTGGCAGCCACGAAAATCGTTATTCATCCTAGCTATAATCCCAGCACTCTTGAGAACGACGTAGCTGTTGTAAAACTAAGCAAAGCTGTACCCATTGTCGATTATCCAAACATAAATACCGCCTGCAAGCCTTCACTTCCCGTTGCAGCTGGTCAAAGGTGGGAATTTTTCTTTTGTCCTTGAAATTCTGTAGAATATCAGTCATACTTGCTTGTAATTATGCAGGTGCTATGTATCCGGCTGGGGTAAAAATCTATTTGGAAACAAAGGATCGTATCAGAGCATCATGAAAGAAGTGGACGTGAAGATTGTTGACAACGCTGACTGCGAAAATCGACTGAGGCAAACTAGACTCGGAAGAGCTTATAATTTCAACGGAATAAGTTTCATGTGCGCTGGTGGTGAGGTTGGAAAAGACGCTTGTCAGGTAATTTTTCTTTCGTTTACTTTTTTCACAAGCTCTTTTTTTCTACCGTAACCATTACGACGTTCTGTTATTGTGATTGTGATAAACACAGGGTGACGGTGGATCACCTCTTGTCTGTGACGATGGAAATGGTCAATGGACGGTGTACGGGCTCGTAGCGTGGGGCATTGGCTGTGCAAATCCTGGTGTTCCCGGAGTCTACACGAATGTCTTGAACTTTCTACCTTGGATCAATAATGCCATTGCACAAACGTAAAAATGGCTACTATAAAATGGAAAAGTTTTTTATATGTTTGAAAAAATTAGGGTACGATGATAACTTTTTGTGAAAGTCATTGTGTTGGAGCAACTTTACCATTAAATTTGTCGTGTCATTACATGCTCCAAAAATTTTGTATGAAATGTCCGAGGAAAAAAATTTCTAGCCGTGCATGGTTTTGTCCCGTAATTATTTCTTCTTTTTAATTATCGAGGTAAAAATAATGAAAGTGAACTGATTAAAAAGAAAAATGTTTTATACTCGTACTTGCTACAAAAAATAGTGTACTCGCTCGACTGTTCAATTTTTGAACATACCACAAGTTTAAAACTCCTAATTATTAAGAAAAAAAAAATTTTATCAACCAAATCGAAAAAAATAGGAGATTAATGTTTAAAAGAACATGTAACATGTTTTTTCGCTACAGTACGTGTGGTAATGGGAATGTATTATAGTTTTGATAGAGATAAGAGCATTGAGAAAGTACTATCTAAGAAATTACTTGTAATATTTCTATAAAATTGGTCACATAACAAAGGGATTTTCCGAAAAAGTTACACAATATATTTTAGGATTTATGTGAGAACACCTAATCCAGACTATATTTTTAAACAGTACTTGATGACATATTGTTTAATAATAAGATCTTTTAAAGGTATAAAATAAGTTAAACTTACAAAATGAAGTTTCATTGCTAAAATAACTTATTGTCATCTAATTCCATAAAAATTTAGTGTGTCTCTTTACTCTCGAATTAGAACCTGATGGTTTTTAATTTGGAAATATTTTATACAGGAAGAAAGAAATTTAAGCTCTTTTAATAGCTCAAGAAATAGAATATTTGAGCTCCGAAAAAAGTCTGTTTTTCGTTATAACTTAGCAAACTAATATTGCACCGTAAACATTAAACAATAAATTTCTAAATTTCAACGCTCACAGGATATTTTTTATTTCCCTTTGAAATCCTTGTCCATAAAATTATTCGTAGGATACATAATAAGGGAAAACAGAGACTCCAAACCTTTGGTAGAATAAATTTTGTACAAGACCAAATAATATTTCAACAACAAAAGTTATTTCCATAGGCTTTATTAACTTTTTGGTGCAAGCAACTAAAAAGATATTTTTTTTCCTAAGGAATTTATTTTATTTCTAAGGAATACATTAAATGTAAAGTACATCCTACTGTTAAAAGTCATTTACGTTGTGCTTGTTTTAAAAAAAGACCAAAAAAGTCAAATAAAGTCTCAAAGAGGCCTTTATGGAAAACACCTTCTGAGGAGACCTCCTTCTTCCACCGGCACATATCGAAAGATTCACAACCATATTCCACGACGACCACCCCCCTACGGCATCGACGTCAAACTCCGCCTTGCAAGGCCGACATCGCCAACAACACTTACAAGCCGCAAATATAATTACTGGCGTTTAAACCGGCCGCATTGTACGATCTACACGCTTGGCTAGCTCTCAACTTTGCCCACTCGACGCCCACTACACGCGCTCGCTTTGCACTCCTTCTTTTCGCCCTCGTCTATTCGGGCACGTACAGCCACACACCACGTCTACACACTGATCGGCCATTGTGTGCAGGCATTGTCCCCATCCAGTGTTTGAAATCGATGCTGGCGTGTATGCAGATTGCGGGCGCGAGAAAAAGAGTCGAGTACCAAAACCGTATATAACGTGATGCATGTACACCACCATAGAGGAGCGTTTGTTCGCACGTTCGAGATGTACTCGTCGCCCTGGATTGTGCGTCGATGACTGTGTATAGCAGCTCGAGTACACGTATATATATACACGCGCACCAAAGAACGAGCGTCGTTACGTGCGTGCATATTGTGTGGGATGTCAATTGTAGCTCAGCACCACCGTTCGAGCGATAAGCGAGATGTGAGCTGCATTCGCGGTGGAGGACAAAGGAATTCGAGTTCCGAGATCGATTCACCGAGTCAATTAAAAATGGGATATGGTTGCTCTGCACGCTGTAGAGGTATAACCTTTGTTTAGCCTCCTTAGTCAAGGTGCTCGTGCCGATGAGATTCTTTTGGCTTTTGTCGATTGCGTTTCTGTTGTTTGGATAATCGGGTGGTGCGTACTGCATTACGACGTAGACTTTTTTTTTTTTTTTTTTTTTTCGTTCGCTATCAAGAGGTGATTGGAATCGAGTGCTTCTTCGTTCGACTGATACTTCGATGAACGCCATTGTGGAGTACTTTTTTTTTAGTATAGGTACGCCTCGTTGACGATTTGTCAATGCTTATTACCAAGTGATGATAGACTCGTAGTTTCCGAACTTATAGCTTGTAATTTTTAAATTACTCTCTTTATGGATGGTAAAGTTTCAGAAAATGGAAGAAACCATAAATCTTAAAATATGAAATTTGTTGTCGCTGCAGGTAGTACTTTTTTTTATAGCCAATCCACGGGCTACATAGCCAGTTCCATTACAAAGTAAAAAAAAATCAGCTGAGCCTCATTCAATTACCAAGAGCAAAAATCGACAAGGGCCACGATCAACAATAGAAACGCGTAAAGAGAGAAACCCGAGCATAATCCTTTTAGTTAGATCCTGACAAGGCGAGCACGCAACTTACTCCCACGACAATGCCATTTCCACTTTTACAAATCCAAAGGTACACAGAACCAGAGAACAGGAGGAGCGGGGGAGTCGGTCTACGTTCCCGTGCCCATACGGTTATTAATGGCAATACAAATCTCAAGAGTCATCGAGGCCTCTTCAATCTGAATGGCTTCTGCTCACGACGCCACATACACACACGTACTACTCTACATTCAGTAACATGGTGTACAGATTTTTTTTCATTTCTACCGAATGACTCAATCGTTTTCTCCTCCATCCGTATGGCTATACACGTTCCAGCGGAGGCACTTGAGGCGCGAGCGCGAGCTTTCTTTCGGGGGTGAATTCATAACTCCCTTTGCGTTTCTTTCTCTTTCTTTTTTTCTTGACTTGCTCGCTATGTCTCGGCTAAGCACGCGTTTGCTACCCCCCCACCCCTAACCCTGAAACCTTCAATTAACTTTGCTGATTACATTGAACTCTACGTGTGCAAGTCAGAGGACTCGAGACTTGGGGGCTTTTGATTCGGCAAACGCTCGTTTATACACTTGGGCACGAGTGCGCGTTCGAGCCATGCTGCGTTTTGCCGTGGCTGTTTTGTCATTAACCGCCGACTGTGCGATTTCTGTTATCAAGGAGCGGAATATGAGAGAATATGCGTTTTGCGATTGCTGGTACTCGAGTTTTTGTTCAATCCACGTGGACACGTGTGCTGTTTTTTTTTTAATGCGTATATACCTGCATTTATTATTTTTGATGATGGTCATCTTAGAACTTTTTATGAAGACCCCGATTGCACGCTACGTTTGGATAACTTTGAAAGAATTTTTTTTTCATTTTGCAGCTTTTAAAAAAAAGTAATAACGTTTCAAAAACGTCAAAAATATACGCTTCTTTTTATGACATAAAAAATTTTATTATAGCTCCTTTCGCATCAATTTTTATGTAGTTATTGGTTAAATTAGTTATATGATAACTATCCGGACGATAACACCTAAAGTAGGGCTAAGCTGTTTTTTTTATAAAATTTTTAAAACGCTATCACAACTAACTTTTTAACCTTGTATGGTAGTAAAATAAAAGTTTTTTTTACTTAGGCGGTTAACGTGTATATCCATGTCTTAAGTATCGTATAAATTGAATATTTTATTTCTTAGACGGTTTTATGCACAATACTATTCTGTTGTTTTAAATACTCGCGTACTCTTTTGGTTCTGTGTTTTTTTATTTAAAAACTGTATTATAATACAAATATTTAAAAAAGATTAATAATGTACTATTCTAAATAACCAGAAAAATGAAAATTAAATAATTTGTTAAAATTTTAAAAATTATAGTGAGACATGATTCTTCCCAATACAACAATAACTCACAAGGTTAACTTATGTATTACAATATTAAATGTAATTAAAACAACTTATGGGTATTTCGTTCTGAAACATTTTGCATAAGATTTGAAAAAAAAAAAAAAAAAAAAGAAAGAAAGAAATTGTATCCATTATCTTTCGAACCATCTGTCATCCCAGATCTGTCAAAGTCATCAAACACCCTGGAGCACTCGTGTAATTGAAACGTCTGAAACATTCAAGTGGTAACAGGTGTGACCTGTTTTGGGTTCCTAGCTTTTGATTATTAATGTCAATTGTCAATTCAACATAAGAGTCCAAAGCAACCGACTTCTTTTACCGCACGAGAGTCAATTTTAACGTCAAGCCTGACGTTGTCAACATCCCAAGTGCTTCTACGAACCTGTAAAAGCTGATTGCTCGGTGTATGGTTACAATACTCGTCGCCAAAATCAATCCAACGTGCTTGGCTGTCGTAATCAAACAATCATGATCGATCCACTAAAGTCACCATAGCCATCATCCCTGCATAGCATTATTATCCACAGCAATAAAACGCCAAAAAAAAAAATGCCCAAATTTCCACGTTTGTTGTTAAGGGTAAAATTCGGAAATAAGCCTACGTAGCCTTCGCTCCCATAAACGTCCAATACTCCCATCACATAGCACTCAGATCCGACCACAATTATTTAGCTTCGTTCGCGCGTGCTTCCCTTCTTTTAGAAAAGCCAAAGCCCACGTATCTAATGACGTGCCGCGCAAGCAAATAGACGAAGAACGGAACGAGATGTGTATATAGAGAACGCGTTGAGCCCCGTTTGTGCGTACCTACCTATATACATCCAGAGGAGGGAGGTGACGTTATAGTCGATAATCGCCAGAGACAGGCAAGTCATAAGCCCCCCGTCTCTCTTGCCATGCATATATAGCTTGAATCGAATGATAATCAGGTTTCACATCTATGCACGCGAACATATAGTCAAGGAACGCGCTGCGGTGCCGTATACCAGCCGGGATAGGACGTGGAGGCTCCCGCAGTGCTCTATACAAGGGAGAGAGAGAGGGAGCACGGTGCAGTGGCTCGTTCACGCGCGGATCGCACCACCGCACGCGGACGTACAGTAGGTATGTAGGTGCGCGTATCGCGCCTCCCATCCCCTAGCTAATATAATGCAACGCGGCGAGGCTGTGCTTGCGCTTGAGCGCGCACCTGTAGCGCAAACTAAAGAGAAAGAGAGAGGGAGGAGAGAGAGAGAGAGATAGGGGGAGGTCAAGAAAGAGATATACACATAGAGATAGTGGATCGGGAGGGATGAGTCGTGAGATACTATAATGCGAGTAGAGAGAGAGAGAGAGAGAGAGAGAGAGAGAGAGAGAGAGAGAGAGAGAGAGGAGGCTGCTGCGGCACATAGCCGAGCGGAGTTGTACAGAGGGCGTCAATAACGAGATGCAGGAAGTGCGCCAGCTAGCCAACGCTGCCTGGCCGGACGTCACTCGGCAAACCCGTGCAGTCTATGCTGATGCGACGAGAGGGAGATAGAACGGCGCCGCTGGGCCTGGGATGGACAGGAGAGCTCCAAAGGCATATAGTTGAATGGCCGGAGGGAGTGCAGCGTGTGGAACGGGAGAGGCCGAGTGCGCTGATATCCACCTGAATGGCTGGGCCACGTAATCACTGGCTAATTACCCGATGGAGCTACTGCTGCTCCAACCCTGGCTTCAGCCGCAGCCTCTCTGTGGATTAGATCTCCTTTCTTTTTTTTTTTTTTTTTTTAATTTATGTATTTCAGGGGATGGACAATGATGGTGGAATGTAAACTTCTCTTGGTAATATTTTTTTTTATGAGACGTTGATTTTAGAATAACTTGATGTTTCGTGATGCTCTGGATTTTCTAACATACAATATCTGGAAAGAACGATAAAANAAAGGAAAGCATAAAAATAAGGTTATGAAGAAAGAATTATTACTGAAAGAGCATGTAAAACTTGTGTATTTTGGAATAAAAACTCGTGGTCCTGTTTGATCAGGAAAAAAAGAAACGTGTAAGTATCCAACCTGGATGTTCGGCTGAGCCAAAGGCTCCGAATCGGGCCGTCGCCCTTACGAAATGTGTAAGAACAAATACTCGTGAGAACTGATGTTCTATAAACTTTGAACTCGTGAACTCGGATTTTTTTTAATATTCTCGTGTCACCCTTTTTGCTGTGTCTGTCGTATGTTATTACCCTTTTTGCCTTGAAGAAATTGCTCACGGAAAAATACTTATGGCTGCGAAAAAAACTAGCAAAGACAGAAAGAACAGCAGCAGGAAAGCGCCCACATCGATGGCAACCTCAAAAGCTGAAGAAAGGAGACGTTGGTGCTGCGCGCTTCTTGATGGTAGGTCAAGGAGTGAGTAGAAAAGTGTGTGAATTGAAGGTTACGGCAACTAGCGAAAAAAAACTGCAAACCGGTCAAGAAGACGGTGCGAGAAAAATTGTTTTTTCGCGTTGGCAAGGTGACGCTCGCACATTCGAACAACAGCTGAAAATCTGCTGCCCTTTCTTCTTTTTTTTCGAACGCTATCGGCTGATTCGATACCGATACCGTTGGATATCAGCCTCTTTATATTTTTTCGTTAAATACGAAACAACCTATATATGCTTGGTGTAAGAAAATCATTATATAACTATCTTCATTACTTTTTTCCTTGTCCTTGAACTTTCTACTGCTCACACGACTTTTAAAAAAAGCAGTTTAGTACTTTGACGTTACTTACTTTTTAAAATTTGGCACGATTAATGATTAGAAAAATATATTCCAGACGCGTATTTCTTCTGTTCTTTCTGAAATGAGAAATTAAGAACAGTTTCTTATTTTGTTACAAGTGATACTGCTGAAAACATAAAATATGTATCAACAATAGGAATCTATATACTTTTTTTTTATAATCCTAAGGCGTGTATGTATTGTTACTTTTTTACTTGCTTCTTATTATCGACACAAAATATATGGTTCAGAGCGTATTTTGATTACGTTGCGTACTACACTTGTGTAACTACCATTCGACTCAAGTACTTCAATATTGAAACACTAAACTCTTACAAGCGTGTAAAAAAAAAGTTACACACTTGAACATACAGCGGAATATTTTTTCATGTCATTCAAGCCTAGATTCAACAAAATTGATAAGATATGTGGGTGTTACCTTTCCAATAAGTATCTTCCTATACTATGTATTAGCATATTTTTTAGTTATATTTTTTCCATCACAGAGATGTATCTGTTCGATAAATGAATCAGTGACTATCATGCTACACCTTATAGCACCAAAATAATATGTAATCAACGAGGAATCTCAATCTTTGCATTCATACATTGTTAAAATTAAATCACTGCTTTGGTGTAATTACATCTTTTTCAATGTTCATATGCTTAAGTATCTGACTTTATTTCTTTGTCTCTTGACGTTTCTCCCATATCATATTAATAATTTTAATGGTCTTACTCAATTACTTTTAGTTTCATGCCTGTCATTCATTTTTTTAAATTCCATCTGCTACTCTGGTCTCTTTTTTTGTTTTCGATGCATAGACAAACTTTTTTTGTTACTTTGGTTGTGAGTTTTCTTCGAGGAATCCATCTCAATTGATTCTGCATTTTGTTTACCTGTGTTCAAATTTTTTAAGACAATTGTTTATCTGTTCTTGTGGCTTTTTTTCAATTCCAAAATTTTCGGTACAGTTGTAATTTTTATTTTTCATTTTGTGTTCAATTTCAAGTGTAATTATCTTTTGGTTGTAAAATTTCCAGAATTATAAAAAAATTTAGAAATTCACCAGTAGGATCAAAAATTACGGAGCTGAGTTTTTACTGGAAAATTTTTTAGTTGTGACCGTGAAGAGAAAGCTGAGTGATAAACTTTTCAACAGAGACATAATGTATTTCTGTCTTAAACATTTTTTTTTTTATGAAAACCTTATCGTTTTAGTATCAGAGTCAAATTTATTATTCATTTCTTACACAAATACAATAGTAAAAGAAATAAAGAACGAAAAACATTAAGGATGTCAAGTTTTTTTATTCTAATAGTGTCCATGTGCGATATCAATATTAAGTTAGTTAACATTTTGAATAGGCTTACAACTATAACGTAATATATTTTCCTTTCCGTTTTATTTAAATATTGCTAAAACTGAGTTCTTTCACGTGACAGCTGCCAGGAATCTTCGCTTTCTAGGCACCGGAACACGTAAGATCGAATACGCAGCACAAACAAAAGTAAATACTATTAAAATCGCATGTTATTGCAGGTAGCAATGTGCATGTGATCTGAGACATTCTTCACTTGGAAGACCTAAGCATGTGGTACATCACTTATTGGTTTGCCAGGAACTTACACGCTTTCACCTACAGGTTTTGGAGCACTTGGTTGTGGAGCGCTGGGTTGTGGAGCACTAGGTTGTGGAGCACTGGGTTGTGGAACATTATTGTTGTTCTTGGGATAGAAAGTCTGCAACAAATCATAATAAATTAAAACTTAGTTTCACAAAATATTCTCTATCATTTGAGAATTACAAGGAAGTTTTTCGTACTATACTTGAGAAATAAAAAATCTAGAAATTAATTTTTTTTTAATTTTTATGTCTCAGAGTTGTCCTCTTATTTACAATTCAGTTTGGACAATATATTTTTTTTTATGAGACGTTGATTTTAGAATAACTTGATGTTTCGTGATGCTCTGGATTTTCTAACATACAATATCTGGAAAGAACGATAAAAAAAACTCAAACAACAACTTTAAAAACAAAAAAATCAATTCCCAAACAGATAAAAAATCAATTTGAAAGGAAACTAGCCAGAGAACTTGAAATTTCCTTTTTCAGACGTATCTCAGGAGTACTTATAAAAAAAAAATAAAATGAAAGGTAAAGACTCATTGGATTACTAGATGATTGTTAATATTATTTCCTCCACTATGATTTGACGAAAAAACAGAGAAAAATTTCACACGTGAGTAGACAATCGCTTTCGATAACAAAAGATAACAGTTTAGGAAATAGAGTGAGCCAAGTCCGTCATTTATTGAGGATGAATAGAAAATTTTGATCTCGTGCACATCGTATACACCCCAGCAGCAGCAGATAATTAAGTAACGGAGCTCTCGCAAGAGCACAATTGACAAAAAAAGGCATCGTCTGGCCGGATTCGCGATAACATCTTGATCCCTGCACGAGGGTAAAATCACCCTATCTGCTCGTCCTTTCTCGCTCTTTTTTACGTCGAGGAAGTGCCGTTCCATAAGCCTGACTGACGTTTTTGTGCGCGCACGAATGTTTCGGAGTGTCATTTCGTCGCATCCTCTGCCCTTTTTGTTCATCCACGTACCTACTTGAAATCAATGTGTTGTTTTTGCTTTGCCCATTCAAGTAGAGATACTCTTTTTCTGCACCATCCTTCTCTGACCTTTACTAACCATTATTCAGATTTTTATCGTGTCTTACAGATCTATGTCAATAACTTTTAAAAAATCAATATCATTAATTTTGGGTGCCGAGAGTAAAATTATGTTGAGTGGTACTTGAGCAACAATTTTTTTTTTTTTTTTTGCTGAATATCAACGCTTTAATGTATGTATGAAACTGTCATCTTCATTGCCACACTACACACATCCAATCGCGTATTAATCTCCAGTTTATCCTATAAATTTTGAACACGCTTTCGATCATTTGCATTCATCACTCGCACACCCTACTCAACCCCCCCTTCCGATCATCCAGCACCGAAATTCCCTAAACGTCCCGACCGATAAACGCGCCTCTTCGCGTATCCCCACATCCTTCGTACCTTTATTCCCCCCCGTGTACTTTTGCACCACCACTTTATTACAGTCTAACAGCGCACCCCGCAGGCGCGTGCACTGCATCTGCAACACTCGCGCTCAGCCGAGCTCAGGTCGGCCCGTCGCCCGAAGGCTCCCATACAGCCTTTACGCTTGGCTTCGTGGCGAACGCACGAAACGGGAGGACAGAGCGCCACAGCCACGTGGCAACAATGAGACGGTTTTATTGTCACTGACAACAATGCCAACCTCTCTTGGAGACGAAAACGCTTTTTTCGCCCCACTTTGCTCTAGTCTTCCTCTTTTTTTCTTTTTCTTTTTTTTTTTTTTTTNTTTGAAATTTATATCTTTAATTACTGCTTTTTTTTCTTTACTTATTAACTGCTATTATTATTTTTTTAATGTGATGGTCCGTTGTTCGCTCGTGGATGTTGATATGGAGAAAATAGGGGCTGCGGTTGCTGGGGGGACGTGGATACGATTATTGAATGGAGGAGACGACCATCCCACTGGGACCAAGTGAATTTTTGGTGTCTACGGACTTGAAGCTGCTTGTGCAATCGTGTCTACAATGCTTCAGGTGGTCCGGGTGCAAGTGGTCTATGGTCGCTCTAAAAGGAGCGTTTTCTGTATTTTCAGGCATCCATCGACAATCGTTTATAATACTTTGGTACATCGTAGTTTTTATGGCAAATGCCAATTTATAATCTGTTATATCGTACACATAATATTTATGTAAAAGATTGTATTCGAGCAATTAATCATTGATCTACGAAATTTTTTTTTTTTTTTTTTCCTCACTGTAACCATTAAATGTAATTTATTACGCTGGTGGTCCACCCTTGAAAAATAAAATAAAAATAAAATAAAGCCTCGTATATCCCTTGCTTTGCGAGGCTGTAATATTCCATCGTCTGACTTTACAAATCGCCTCGAAAATTCATGATACCCAGAAATGGCGATCGTTCGGGAAATAAAAAAGGGTCGGCTCGTGAGGGATGACAATGGGAGAGCAAAAAACGAAAAATAGCCATCATCGTGTCGGGCGTGACGAAAAAAATGTCCACGCTCGTCCCAACCGAAGGGGTCACTCGACCGAAAGGTGGTGTATATTCAACACGAGGAGTACGAAAGTGACGGGCCTTCGTATACCCATCGAAATCCATCCGACCCTTCCACGTGAGCGTACACACATCGAGAGCCAGTTCCACAACCCTCCCCCCTTTTTTGGACTCCAACAAAAATAGATAACGTATCGAGAGTACAGAGCTTTCGCGAAGGACCGCCCCATTTATCTTACTCGCTTCGCGTGCATGCCATCGGCTCTTTCCGTTGTCGTGGCCCACGCGCTTTCCTCCTTTCGATCCCCCCTCTGAACGCAACCATATGTATTAGGCGCAGACCCTTTATCAAGGTAATCGAAACGAGTGAATAAATTTTTTGGTGACCCCATTATCGATGCTTGAGTGTTTATTTTTTGGGAAACCTTTTTTCCTCCCCTTGATTTATTGACTTTCTGTGCTTCGCAGATGACTGTTTTATAAATTGGTCCTTTGCGTAAGAACATGGTATTTATTCAAATCGATCGTTCAGATGGATTATCGAAAAATATAGGACAATATGTATCTTCGAGGGCAAAAATCATTTGAATTTCGTGGGATCACATAGTCATATGAAAACTTTTACTGTGTAATAGGTGTTGCTTTGGCTGTAAAAAATAATTACGATATTCACAACGTGTAGTTTACCTGTACAGCTGAAAATCCTCTGACCACACCTTCTCACTTTAAAAGAAAAGGTAAAGTTCAGCCTCGGGCTATTTCGTAACTTTTTTTTCCCTCAAAGAAAAAAACAAACAAACAAGCTCTGAAACTCTCTGAGAGTTGCCTGCAAGTGCAACATAAGCTACACGCCCAGAGCCCCCGAGTTTGTATTGGCAGGCTAATTAAAACAATGAAAATTTATTATTCATCAATGGCCAAGCGGCCAAGACCTCTTCACGGCCCCCCGGAGCCCCTGCAATAAAAGAAACAGCAGATCGCACCAGCGGGGGCGCGAAAATTAATAATTCACGAGGCATTGGAACAAAGTATACTCCCCCTCGTTCTCGCAAGACCAGCCAGGCCGTCGACAAACATTTAGCCCTTTTCGCAAGCGCGTCTCGCCCAGCGAGAACAGTACACAGTCCAGAAGGCGTAGCTCCCACCCTCCTGGGGTGAAAAGCTCCGGTGCGCGCCGCGAAAGGCTGGCGCGCACAGCTCTAGGGCCGCGTTATTTGTATTTTGAATAATTATTTCCTCGTTGCGCGTGACTCGCGCTCCGCGAAGCGAGGCCGCAAGGTAAGCAGGACCCCGGGGCTTGCTTCGCCGAGGATGCTAATTAACCAAGTTTCGGTCTTAACCAAGTTTTTCGATTAGCCGGTAAATTGTTGTATATGTATATATATGTACGCGCCCAGCCTCTCTCTCTCTCTCTCTCTCTCTCTCTCTCTCTTTACATACAGCTGTAGCCCTCTCCGGACTTTCTGCCGCGGTCGTACTTTCTTCAACTCCGAATCGCCTGCGTTTCTCTTTTCTGCCCTGTTTTGTTGTATCGAGGGGGTTTGCCACTTGTGCACGAGGAGAGAACAGAGAGTGAAAAAAGAGACTTCGTCATTATCATATTCCAGGCCGAGTAGAAAGAAGCAAGTTCGCAGAGCCGGGAGTTGGCGGGAAACAACGTAGACGCCGCGAGTTTCGTCGTTAGGGCTTAGGTACGCCAGCCACTGTTCCACCAAGATGTTGAATTTTCTCTTAGGAGCAAGTTTTGCGCTCGACGTGGCTGTGCTCTTTACATGGGGTTTGCATAATACACCGTTGATATTTATTAAAATCTTATTGCTGCATGCCCCTATTGTAGGCTGCAGTGCGTAATTTTTTACCTTTTTCGTGAGGTGGATCACTCAACACATAAATAAACGTAGATTGCAAGACTCCTGTAGTTTTGGGGCTAAAAATTTATCTTTTTATTGTCGACTGGTGGGTCAACACTATAAGAACTGCCGAGCGATAGCTTCTTTTTAAATTTAAAGTGATTAATACTTATAATATATGTGGACGTCTGAGTTGATTATGCCACTACTGAGTTTAAAATCCTCAAGTGTCATTTGTTTTTATTATCAACATTAAATATTAAATTTTGTGTGTTAACCAATTTTTTTAATTGTATTTTCTCTAACAACTTAAATACCGTGAATTTTCGTGAACCTATAACTTATTCGACGTAGTTCAAATATACGATAGGATAATTAAGGATAAAATATCTGAGGATACAGGATGATATATAATGAAAGAGTATAATAAAACACATGACATTTTTAATGGAAATTTAATTTTCGTCTTTGATTGATGCTTCCAGATTTTGGTAGTTATAAAGTGATAAACGTATTTTTTACAAAAAAAGTCGTACAAAAATTCTACTTCTTTATTTAATTCATTCGAAGAGAAGGTTATACTATAACTTTTGCGCTCCATTTAATTTTTAGATGTACTCAAAATTTTAAATAAATTATAACATTTTGTAAAATGTTAACATTCAATTTTAACGATTTTTTTCCACTTGCACTTTTTTTTATATTTAAAATATATTGGTTGCACAAAAAATTTTTAAAGCATGGATTAGTTGAGGATCAT